AGAATCGTTACAGTAGTCTACAGTAATTAATAAAGAAACATTACTACACAAGATACCTACGCTGCCACCCTAGCAGGACGCTTATTTTAAATGCTAATAGTAATATCTGCATGCTTTAACCTAGAGCTTAAATAATACAACGTAACTAACACGTTTGTACATGCAGCAATTAACTGCAATATCTACATACAGATGCTAAGAGGCTATTAGAAACTAGGTATAATACTAAAGCTTTAAAAAGCACTATACAGCCTACAAATTTCTCCTCTACTCTAGCAACACTATTTTATAACAACTCTTAAAAGCCTTAGGTTCTTAGCTGTTCTACATAAACTCTACTACATAACTAAAGCTAGAATATTTATGTTTTTCTATGTAGACAACCTTATTATTGCGCACAAGAAAGGCTCTAAAGCAGATGCACAGCGTGTAGTAGACTAGTTACAAGAGAAGTATACCCTAACAGGAGGCAAGGACCTATAATAGTTTCTAGGAGTTAAGATTATTAGAGATTAATAGTAATAAATAATTTAGCTGTTATAAGCCTTATATATTAACAAGATAGCTAGGCTAGCTAACAGAAAGGACCTGCAGCATGCTACACTTATAAGTGGGATTAAACTTATGCTGTAATCTAGTTTTGCAACCCTATTAGAAGTAAATTAATATTAGCAGAAGATTAGATCTCTGCTCTTTGCAGCAGTTACTACAAGACTAGACATCACCTTTGCCACATCACGCCTCGCACAGTTTCTCACAAATCCCGCATCTGACCATCAGGATGCAGCCAATTAAGTCATCCTGTACCTACATGCGACACAGACGTACGCACTCTAATTAGGAGGAGAAGACTACCTTATAGTAGCAAGCAATGCGTTATTTGCAGATAATACACTAGATAGAAAGAGCTCTTAGGGCTACATTATTTAACTATTTAGCAGATAAATTGCCTAGTAAGTAAATAAATAAGATATAGTTACAACATTAACAACAGAAGCAGAATTACTTGCACTGTTCTAAGTTGCTAAGAAAGCTATGTTTATAAGAATGCTCTTTAATAAACTGCAGGTTAAGCTGCCTAATTTAACTATTATAATCTAGTGCGACAACAAGCAGACAATCTAACTGGTAAACAAAGAGATATCTCAACTTTAAACCAAGCTCCGACATGTCAACATCCATAACCACTAGCTCTGACAGGAAGTCTCTTAACAAACGATTAAGGTTGTCCATGTCCCCTCTAGCAAGATGCTTGCGGACGGACTCACTAAAGCGCTTCTAGCCAGCAAATGGCCAAGCTTTCTTCAGCAAATTCGGCTAATTAACGTCAGGGAGAGGATAGTCAGTTAGGAAGCGGATATGGAAGAGATTGAAGCAAGAATGGAAGCCCTGGAAGCATACTAAGGATGCGCAATCGGGAACCAGCTTGAAGCATGTCCAAGCTGAGGGGGTGTGTCAGATATGCGCACCTACTGTCAAGACAGGAGGAACGTTTGACGAAAGCTGC